AATTAAACGTTCAACAGATTGAGGAAATGCATTCATTTGTTCGTCGAAATGCAGTATTAATACAAACTGATGACACAATTTGCGCACTTTTCTCACCAAACAAAGTGAAAAAATATAAATATAATAATTTTATAGATTTTTATGCAAATAAATGGCAACGAAGTTATAATACACTGCATATAAATATCAACATGGTCACAAATCTCTCTGAATCTGTAATGAAAACAAATAAAACGCCAAATTTAATACCAATACAATATAATACTAATACAAATGAAGGTATTTTGTGATTTGATTTGTTTTATTTTAAATAAATAATATAGCTTGTTGTATTTGTTATAATTAATATATTTTATTCACAAAATAGTTGTGACAAAATTGGGACATAATTCTCATGAAAACCATTACAACGGTCTGTTCATTGAGTTGTCGGCCATCGGTTCCGGAGGTTTTGGAACCGTATATAAAGTAAAGCACAGAATCGATGAACACATATATGCCGTCAAAAGAGTCCAAATTAAAGGTATTATAAAATGGAAAATATTTTTAAAAAACTTTTTTGAATTATTTCAGACTTTTCTGAGGAATACATACAACGAGTCTATAAAGAGGTCCGGAATTTAGGAGCCGTTCGTTCAGAATATTGTGTTCAGTATTACCACTCATGGCCTGAAGACAAACGCCTCTACATTCAGATGGAGTTCTGTTCACAGAATCTGCGGAATATTCTTAAAGTGAAACCACAAGTATTTGGTCGACAATTAGGAGAAGCCATGGATTGTGTCGAGTATTTCATATCGTGTGAAATATTGCGACAAATCTTAGAAAGTGTTCAGTATTTGCATGAATTGAATCCACAGATCATTCACAGAGACCTCAAACCCGAAAATATATTAATTGCTGAAAATATAAGAAACGGTAGATTTATTAAGTTATGCGACTTTGGTTTTGCTGTTGAGCACCAAAAGGTATCTCAGAGTCACACCAGAAATGTGGAAACTTTTATATATATTGCCCCAGATTTGGATCAATCAAAGTATACGACAAAAGCAGACATTTATAGTTTGGGAATACTTTCGATGGAATTGTTTGATATTATATTATAGTAAGGATTGAATAGAAATAGTAATTGTATTTATAATTGAAATTTTAAAACCTTAATCACTTATTCCAGTGGAAGTGAACTGGTTAAATATACAAACACATCACTACATGAAAGGTTTAAAAATATACTAGGTGTTTTTAATTCAATGGTTAACTACGGTTCATACCTTAGACCTGAGTGCACTGATATATTAAATAACAATACATGGTCACTTAACAAGGACATTATTGACTCAAATATTAATGCATTTAATAAATTCATAGCTCAACACAATTCCGACGATTATTTGTTTTTTAAAAATATTATAACGTATAAATTAAAAATAAGCAATGTAAATCCAGTTTCGCCACAACATACAAATATAAAACCGGCAACAAATACAGGTAATCTAATATAATTTGTAATTGAGCAAGAATATATAATTATGTTTACAATGAATAGGTGCCATCC